TGCCAATTCCTTCAGTGCAGCTTAGACTTCTTCATATTCAGTACCACTGGTTCTTGATCATATGCCCCTCCTGAAATAGATGAACATCGACCAATTCCTTTTGATATGGTGACTCTGTATATACTTTCCATCATCTTTTGATGTTTCCTGCATCATTCATATCATTCATATTTTTCCCATAGAATCTTTCAATATTGCAACTTGAGGCTTGAATTTTTTTTACAGTTCCTTCAGTTTGAGAAATGCCGAGCATGTTCTTCCCTTTTGGTTCACAAGCTGCTCTTTCAAATCTTACATTCAGTACTTTTATCTCGTCATTTCTTCCATTCGCTTTAGCTACTCTCCTTTCAAGAGCAAGTTTCAGAGTCTCTTCTGACATCCATTTTAGTCTTCTTTTCCTTTTCTATTTATTTACGTTTATTATAGTGAAAACATGCACAACAAGACCTTCACTAATACAACAACTTGCACATTTACAGATCAGGGACATTGATGACATTTTTATGTTGTGCCACCATTATTGCTATCCTTCTGCAAAATATTCCACAATCGCTAGCATAACCTGAATGCCTTGCAAACAAAAGCTCCCCATTTTCCCCTCCCTCCTACCCTGGTATCCACTAATAATCTTTGGTTTATACATATACATACATACACGCATACATATAGATTTCTCTGACTTTTTATGACAGCGGACTAATACATTATTTGTCCTTCTGTGATTGACTTATTTCACCCAGTGGAATATCCTCCAAGTTCATCCATGTTATGCAGTGTTTTGCAGATTCTACATTACTCTTTAGTGTTACATAGTATTCCATTGTGTTTACACACCATAGTTTGGTTATCCATTCCTCCATTGATGAGTGCTTAGATTGTTTCCATCTCTTTACTATTGTAAATAGTGCTGGGATGAACATGGGGGTGCACATATCTATTCATGTCCTAGCTCTCAATTCTTTAGGATATAAACCTAGTGATGGAATTGCTAGATCAAATCTTATTTCTGTTTCCAACTTTTTAAGGAATCATCATACCAATTTCCACAGTGGTTGTATCATTTTACAGTCCCACCAGCAGGTATGAAAGCCCCAGTCTCTCCACATCCTCATCAGCATTTGTTATTTTCTGACCTGTTGAACTTTGCTACTAGTGCTGGGGCAAGATGATATCTCATTGTTGTTTTGATTTGCATCTCTCTAATGGCTAATGGGGAGCTCTGGTAGCATAGTGGCTAAGGCACTTGACTGCTAATCAGAAGGCTGGCGGTTCAAACCCCCCAGCCACTCCTCGGAAGGTTGGGCAATCCTACTTCCGTAGTGATACTGCCTCG